GCCGCGCAGCCTTCGCCCCAGCTCACCACGCCGGTCAGGAACCAGGTGCCGCGGAACTGCGTGGCGTGCGGGCCCCCGCTGTCCCCTTTGCAGGCGTCTTTGCTGCCGTCCAAGTAGCCGGCGCAGAACATGTTTTCGGTGATCTCCGGCGAGTTGGGCCTCCGCCGCGACTGTTCCAGGCAGTCCTGGGTCATCAGGCGCGGCACTTCGATGGCCATGAGCTCCAGCGCCGTGGCGCCGCGGTCTAGCAGCTGGCCCCAGCCGCTGACACGCGAGAAGCGGATGCTGGTCAGCGTGCCTTGCAGGAAGGCCCTCTCGGGCAGGCAGAGGGGCACCACGTGGTCTGTGAAGTTCACCGGCTGCTGCAGCCCCAAGAGCACGATGTCGTGGTCAGTCTGGCCCCGCCGGTACTTGCTGGGGAAGATGACCTGCGCCACTCTTCGCACCTGCTCGTGCCCATCAACCTCGCCGAGGTCGTGCTCACCTAGGGGAAGCCGGCAGTCTGGGCCTTGGCCCTCTCGGGGCTCTGGCTCCCACAGCCTAGCCTGGGTCAGGCAGATGGATGGGGCTGGGGGGCTGCAGAACTCCCGGACTGCAGGCTCTGGTGGGGCGTGGAGGACTGAGGGGTGGGGAGGATGTGGCTGGGAAGTGCTTCTGGAACTGGGTGTGGAGGGTGGCAAGGAGGTGGGAGCCCTGGGCAGCGGGGTGCAGCAGCTGAGGCTGTCCCGATTCCCTGGATGCGTCCCAGGTGGCTGAGGCCGTCTCTCCCGTGTCCTCTCTGGGCAGAGGCCCTGTGTAGTTCCTGGGGCTCTGGGTCCCCTGCCCTCACAGTTCATCTGGGAGCAAGAAGGATCCAAGCGCAGAGGCTACGGGGTGGCCCTGGTGCTGCCTCGTGTGCTCAGCCTGGAGCCTGGCCCCACCCAAGTCTGTCCCCCGAAGGATACAGGTGGCACCTACCCAGCACCACAGACAGGTTCCTAAAGCTCCGGAGCTTGTCGAAGCAGTGGGCTGCAGACACCACCCAGCTGGCCCGCAGCAGGGAGCCCCCACACAGCAGCGCCCCGTTGAGCACCAGAGTGGCCTGTGTGGGGACACACAGACACCAGTCACGCGGTGTTCCTGCCCAGCTGACGCCACAGCTGGCTTATGCGATCCCCGTCTGGAACCTGGGTCCTCTGGACCTTCCCCAGCAAGCTGCACAGAGGTATCCCCGGAGGCTGCGCCCTGGAGTGAGGTCCCTGGCCCTGGCGGGATGCCAGCTTTGCAGGATCCTTGGTGGCTGAGCTGAGGCAGCAGCAGAGTGGGAGTACAGTGCACCCACTGCCCAAGCAAGGAGGGGCTGGACGGGCGTGGTGGCCATGTCTGCAGGGGTCCTGAGCTCCCTGCCAAGCCTGGGAATCCTGGTGCTGGGGGACCTGGCTGGAGGCCCCGCTGTGTTTGGGGCAGCCTACCCAGAGGCCTTACCTGCCATGGACATTCCCCTTTGGGGCACACCCGACCCCCAACAATTCGGCCTTGGATGTTGCTGTTCTTTCTTTTGTCCAGAACTGGTATTTTCCCACATGGATATTCAACTGCAGGACAGAAACCCGCGAGGGGATGTTTACGAGGGTCGCCCCCTGCAACCCTGAGGCCACCTTCCCTCTGGGGCCCTGGTGCTGGTGCAGGGCCGGCATGGAGGCCCTGGTGGAAGCTGCTGGCCCAGGAGACCAGAGGGGCTGGTTGAAGAGGGGATAGAGTCCTTCCTTGGAGCTGGGCCTGCTAGCTTTTCACAGGAGGAAGATGCATCATGCAGAATTACGGACAGGTGAGCAATGTTCTATTGAAGACCAGATAACTGCATAACAGCTGTGCTCTCTGAGTCTCTCCTGTGTCTACCCATGCAATGGAGGCAGCCAGCCGAGCTTCCGGCTTTCAGACTCCTCCTCATGGGGTGGGTCCCCGCTTGGGGCACCATAGTGCCATTCATCTGAGGTTGGCGTGCAAGAAGTCTCCATTTTCCTGAAGCACTGTGTGGGCCCAGAGGTGTCCGCGAGCCTCGCCCTGTTCCCTGGCTGCCTGTGACACGGGCCCCGCCGGAGTGCCTGTGGTGGGCACCCACACACTGGCCTGTGAGTGGCAGGTGGCCCCTCTGCCATCACAGGTGCTCAGTCAGTGGCCGGCCCTGCCCCCTGGCTTTACCAACACACTAAGATGCAGCAGCCAGGGAGGGTGGTGGCCATCGGGCCTGGGAGACAGCAGCCCCCAGAGCCTGGTACCTGTTGGCGTGCAGGACACCTTGTCCGGCTGCAGCGCATACCCCTCGTGGCAATGGCAGACACGGGTGTCCCCCACACGGTCACAACAGTACTGCTCACAGCCACCATTCTCGTTGTCACAGATCAGCAGGGCGCTCTTGTCTGGGGACAGGAAAGGGAAGGTGAGAGGGGCCCTGGAAGTGGCCACGCCATCTCTGCAGCTATGGGGAGGAGGTGGCTCACTTATCTGACAGTTCCGGCCCTCAAAGTCTGGGAGACAGAAGCAGACATAGCCCTGGAAATCTTCCTGGCAGGAGCCCCCATTCTGACAAGGATTTGAGGCACACTGGTCACCGTCTGTGGGTGAGCTGGTGTTAGTGTGACCAATAAAAGGGCAGGGGGGACCCCAGAACATCCCATGCCTACTCACCATTGTAAATAACCCAGAACTGCTTCTGAGGAGGAAGAAGAGGCCACATGAGACACATTCACCAGAAGCCACAGTGACAGTGTCTACGAAGGAGGTCGCGGCTGGGGAAGGCAGGGCCTGGCCTGTGTCCTTTGCCAGGGGCTCTGGAGCCAGATTTGCCCGGGAGAGGGGGTGGCTCATATGGAGAGTGACATTTTTTCTAGTCCCTCCCCAGGACATCTGAGGCCCCCAGAGGCCATGAGTTTCCCTCAGGTTAGCTCCTCCATCTGTGACCTGGGACAAGACCCACTGCTGGGGCCTCTGTCTCCAGTGGGTGATTACGCCAGGGTGGAGCAGCCACGAAAGTGGAAACTGCAGACTCCATGATGAAACTGGCTCCTAAGGAAACTTGACCAACTGAAGGTTCACTCACAGGCTGCTGTGAGAATAAAACAGGCAAGGGTGTTGGAAATCCTTTGCTCACCAAGTGGTATAAAAAGGATGTTATGGCATCCTGAGCTTGTCTGGAGAGTGTCATGCTCACCTCCAAGTCAAACAGCCCACCCCACAGTGAGTGTCTTGTGAGTATAAGCATCAAGTGTGCGGCCGCCTGTGAGTGTGAGGCCTTCCACAAGTGTGAGGCTTGCTATGAGCTAGGTGTTGGCTCTTTCCAGAGATTGGCATACAAGATAGATGTTGGATCATCCCAGTTCCAAAGCCCTATCTCCACATCATATGCCAAACTACACTTGTGGAGGAAAAGGGGAAAGAAGTGGAGATGCTCAAGGATGCCTGATTATGCGTCCTCCCAAACGTGAAACTGGAAATGAAGACGATCCTGTGTGTGGGCCTAGAGTGGGTGGAGGAAGCCCGGGCTTCCCTGCGTCCCTCACACGCGTGCGCGTGCGCGCGCGCGCACACACACACACACACACACACACACACACACGCTGGAAGAGGTCATGGTGGAGGTTCCTCAGCACAGCAGCATCTTGTAGTTGGGCTGCCCTGGAGTCTTAGGAACTGAAGGACTTTGCTCACTGAGTGGGATTTTTGAGTTATGTTTTCTGATGTAAAAATGAGTGTAAGTGGTGTGGCAGAGGAGGAGTGTGCCTGGAGGGCCTCTCTGTTCAGCAAGCGGTGCAGGGCCTTGGAGAGGAAAGCAAAGCTATCGTGAGGGAGAAAGAGCAACGCTGACAGGAAGGCTGCCGAATGTTCCCCTGTGCTCGTGTAACAGGAATTAGTGAGACAGGAGCTAGAGTTCTATTAGGGAGTGAGGACAGCAGCCCCAGAACGGTGTCCAGAAGCCCAGAGCGGAGTCTGCTGAATCACAGTCCTCCAGGAACCTTACAAAAACAACTGCCGCGTGTCCTTGGGCTGGGTGGGGTGCCCCCAGAGCATGACCCAGCAGGCCACTGGCTCAAGGGCGCATAGGCCCTGCACAGATATTGCGTGAACACCGCCTGTCTGGGCTTGCAAAGTATGTAGTCTCCTATAGGTAGAGATCGCATTGCTTACACCACAGCCGGACTCCCTTCTAAACCCCTTAGAAACCTTAGGCCAAGAGCCACTGTGGGGATCCTGCTCAGAACACCTTCTGGCCAGTGGGAGCTTTACCTCCTTCCCGCGGTCTTTTAAATAAACTCACTCGTACCCTGCCTCCTCTGTGCACAGTTTCATTCTTCATCACCACGGGACATGACCCAGGCACACCCGCGTTCCCAGCTCACCCCTTTCCCGCGGTCACTGCACACCCTGCCATCCGGTGGTGCTCACCGTCCTCTCGGTGCTCCTGAAGATCTCCCGGGCCTCCTCGAACGAGCAGTGCTCCTCCTTGCACTCCCTCTCCAGGGATCCTGGCCACAGCTCCTCCAGGAATGAATTGGCACGCCGCTGCCTACGCAGAACCCCGTGCGCTTCCTCCTGGGTTACGAAGACTGACGGACGGGAGAGCCCGAGAAACACGTGCAGCCTGCCGCACCAGACACACGGAACCGCCCGCCCCGAGCCTGTCCCATTCAGCAAAGGAAGCTACCCCACGGGGTCTCCTGGGGGAGCCACTCGCACAAGGTTCCTATGAACTGAGTCGTTGCACGGGAGCTGCTCCACAGGTCGTCCTGTGTGAATCTCCCACACCAGGTTATCACGGAAGCCCCTACCAGGTCGGCCCACTTCTCCATAGAAATGATCCACTCGCACTGGTCTTCTCCCACTCGGGGATGGGAACCAGGGTTCCTGTGGATGCTACGGATGGGAGGGACAGGCTGGTTCGCCAGTGCCCTGCCCTGCTCTGGGGGTCGAGGACTCTAGAAAAGGGTGCCCTACCCTTTTCCTGAAGTGGGACAGGCTGCTCATGGACACTGGTGACAGGTGACAGGGCACAGCCTTATGTCCAAGTACACAGCCACAATTTCATAAAATGGAATGAAAACTGAGCAATCTGTCACTTTTTGACCTGCTTACCCTCATTTTTAGGGATATAGCATAAGGAAATAGCCGTGTACAAAAACTTGTGGAGCTATTGATAATAATAGTAAAAAAACAACCAAATATTGGCATCCCAGCTGCCACTAACCATAATGTTTAAGAAGATGTGAGCCCGGCACAGTGGCACATGTGTATAATCCAAGCACTCAGGAGGCTGAGGCGGGAGGATTGCTGTGAGATTAAGGCCAGCCTGAACTACGTGGTGAGACCCTGTCTGATCCCCTTCCCCAAAAGAAAATGTGGTATTGAGCCAAAAAAAAAAAGATGATGAAAGATAAAATATTGTACAGCCCCTTTCTTTGGTACACAAAGTGTATATACGAGCATATATAAATAGGCACTACACAAGCGTCACATAAAAATCCAAATTCCTCATCTCCACCCCTCCCCTGCCTCCTGTCCTGGGAAATCATGCAGCCCCTCCTGCCTCCAAGGAGTGCGTGCCTCTCCTGTGTGTACATGTGTTTGTGTGCATCTGTGCTGTGATGACATGTGGGCGCCTATGTGAGTACTGCAGTGTACACGTGTCTGTGCACGTGTGTCTGGCAGCTTCTGCACTTGTTCTCTGTCCATGTGTGTACTGGTATGTTTCTCTATGTTCATGTGCCTGTGTGTGTGAACATGCAGCTGTCTGTACATGTTTCTGGGCCCACGTGAGCTATGTGTCCGTGCACGCGTGGGTGTGTATGTCCATGCGTGGATGCACTGAGGCTCCTGAACACTATGTTTGGAAGGAACAAACATCAAAGCAAGCGGTCAACAAATGCTCTCGAGCACGAAAATGTCGGAGCAAGCGCATGGCTGGGCCCAGGCCCAGGTCTGGAGCTCGCTGCAGACAGTGCCACAGAGAAGCCCCCTGAAAGAACTTACCTGCAGCCAGGGACCCCTGAAGCAGCAGCAGAAAGCACAGCAGAGCGAGTCTGCAGGGTGAGGAAGCCATGGGGAGTCTGCTGCCCCAGCTAAAGATGGCCGGATGGGAGCAGGCAGGCAAAGGGCAAGAGGGGCGGGGCTGGAGGGCAGAGGCACCAGACACTGGCTGGAGGTTACGCCTGACCACTCAGAGGCCAACCCCTGGTGTCCAGCACCGTGCGTGACAAGGAGGAAGGAGGAAAGGAATGAGGGCAGAGTGACAGAGCTGGGCCTGGCACACACAGCCTGGAGTCTGAGTGGACGGAGATTAGGGTGGCAGGCAGATATCAGGGGGGCCCTGCGACTGCCGAGGGGAGCGCTGGGCGTGGGCGGAGTCCGGTGGAGGCTCAGGAAGACCCTGGCTCCGATCCCTGCCGTGCAGGGAGGCGCAGCTTCCTGGGAGCCAGGAGCGATCTGTCCCAGCTGGGACAGCAGCCACCAGCCCACGTCCCTGTCTCAGCCCCGGACACAGGCCGTGCTCTCCGCCCGCCTGGCTGCCTGTTCTGCCCTAGACAGCTCTGTGTTCCGCCCACACAATTCCTCCCTCCCCGGAATCATCACGGCGTAGTGCCACCCATTTCCTCCACGAAAACTGCTGGGGTTTAAACTGAATCCCGTCTAGTTTACAGGTGAATTTTGGGGAGAAATGACCTTTCGCTGGGGCTGAATTTTTCCAGCCATGTATCTTTCTCCATTTACTCAGGCCTTCTTTTATGATCTATAATATTTCGTAATTTTGTCCACAAAACACTGTTGCATTTATTTCAGTAGTTATCACTTCACTGCTGTTGATATATCAATGTTTAAAACTAACTATTGCTAGGAGCATTAATGACTTTTTGTGGGTTGATCTTGAGCACCCATCAGTTCCAGTGCCTACAAGCTTTCTGGATTGTCTGCTTATGGGAAGACACTGCTCAGCCACAAGTTGACTTTTCCTCCTTTGGGCCATCACTAGTATCCAAATAAGTGATTTGGAGTGGTAGAGGATGTCTCCCTGTGTTCTGCATACTTGAGGAGAATATTAAAGTATCTCAACGTTTACTATTTTTGGTGTGAGGATTTTGTTAGGTTAGGAAAGTGTTCTGGCTAAACACTGTCAATGAAAATTGAGTTCTATTTTTACATATCTGAGACTGGTGATTTGTTTCTGTTGGCTTGTTAGTAAGTTATAGCAGCATGTTTCTGATACTGCATTGCTTGCCCAGTACCGGGACAAAATGGATTAACATGTATTACCTTTTTTTTTTTTTTTTTTTTTTTTTTTTTTT